AGAGATCCTGGAGCAGATCTACCGCTGCAACCCAATTCTTCGCTACACCAGCAGCCCACTCTATGCCCCCCTGCTCCCCTTCCCCTATGGCAGCATGGACCAAAGTGGTGAGCAGCTGGCATGAGCCCAGTTCTTGGAACTGACCTGCAGTGCCAGGGCAGGGTTTGCCCATGTGTGTGAGACTGTGGAGTGGTGGGGGAGGAGCAGGCCTCACTGTGAACATAGCATATGTGGCTGCTGTGTGTTGTGGCACAGGCTCAGCGCCACACTGTGGAATGCCTGACCTGTGGCCTGGACCTTTTTACAACCTCCTGCATACTTTGACAGAGGGAACAGTAGGGGTAGAGATAGCAGGAGGTGGAGAAGGCTCTTGAGGACCAGGCTCAACCAAACTCTTATTGAATAACACCATAGTCATCCCATTACTGGTAAACTACTGGAATGCTGCTGAGAGCAGGTTAAGCAAGGGGGCCTGGCCTTCCATTGGGAGGCCCAGTGAGAGTGTACAGTCTGACACTCCTTTTCTTTCAGTACCAGCTCCTACTTGAACTTCTGCCCTTGGTAGTCTGTGCCCAGTGCTTAACATTGGTTACCACATGCAACAAACACGGGGGCCCAATAGATGCCCAATAAAATGAAACACAATATAATCGGAGTTGAAATCAGTCTGCTGTGCTCAGACTCTGGCCTTCCCCTTGGGGTGAAAAGGACACCTGGGGCAGCCTGCTTAACCTGGCCTGTTCTACAGGCCCTTTAGCTAACACCCACGATGCAGCTTAAAGCAAACTAATAACTGATGCAGAGTTAGAGGCCTATGTCCATGTAGGAGATGCCTTGCCCTGGGCCTCTGGACCCCTTGCAGCCTACCTAGTTATCTCTTTCATTATTACTCCCCTGCTGCCAGATTTCTGCAACTATTTATAGGTGGGAGATGGAAGGTGGTGCCTTGGGCCCTGCTGGGACTCTGCTCCCTCTGTTCCCTGGGGTTAGACAGGGATAGGAGGGATCCTTGCTGAGTGGGACTTTGACCCATGGATATCCCACCCTGACAGGATGTGGGAAAGGAGATTGGTTCTCTTTGAGTGATCCAGGAGTGGGCATGGGTGCTTGTCCATGTGCCAGTGGTATGGGTTGGGGTTCTCTGGTTGCTGTCTGGGTGAGTGCCTTGGAAAATCCAATTGTGCTTGTGGGGTGGAGGTCCCCATTGGTCTGAGTGCTGTTCTGACTAGAGCAGGGGTTTGGGCACATGCTACTTGTGATGGGAGGCATGCACTTTGCCAGGGTACTTGGTTTTGCTGGGGCAGGAGGAGGGACTGTGTGCTGGCTCTGAGGGATGGGGCTCCACAGAGTCTTTCCTGCCTGTGCTGGGCTTGGAGAAGAGGGGGAGAACCATTGTTTCCCCAAGGTCCTGCAGGCAGTGTGTGACAGCTGGTTGATGCAGGGGCCTGGGCTCTAAAGTCCAGGCCCCTGCTAATCAGAGATGCCTGCTTGCTTCTAGCCCCCAGTGCCCATGGCTACACAACACTGCGTGATGAGGCTGTGAAGCTCTTCAACTCTCTGCAGCAGTTGGAGGCAGAGCAGGACCCAGGGCCCCTGATCCAGGGCATCCTGCAGACCTGCTGGGACCTGCGGCCCCTTGTTGATGAGATCTACTGCCAGTTGGTGAAGCAGACCACAGAGCCACCAGCACCTGGGGAGCAGGGTGACTTGCGCTACTGGCAGCTGCTCACCTGCATGAGCTGCACCTTCCTGTCCTCCCTTCCTGTCCAGCGCTTCCTTCACTTCCACTTGGACAGGTGAGTGTCAGGACAGCCAGCTCAGTTTCTATGGGTGGGTACATTGCCTGGGGCACTGGGTCCTGGTGAGAAGGGCTGGGTCCTGAGGAGTGTCTTGCACAGGACTCCCTTTCCCCTACTGGGCTCAGGGTAGGGCCTTTGGGGGTTGGACTAAGGGCTTCTGTGCCAAGCTGGCTGAAGCTTCTATGGCCCCGCTTTCATTAAAGGGATTTAGTGTGTGGGACCCCCTCTCCTCCCATCTGCAGAGAAAAAAACACCAGCTCCAGAATGTTCTGGGTGAGCTGCAGCTGCCAGGTGGTGTGGTGGGGAATTCCCTGGGAAGACCTGGATCAGGGTACCCCAGGCCTGCTGTTGCCAGGGGAGCTGCTGACTTGCCCTGTGCTGGAATGGCCTGGCTGAAGGCTGTAGAGACTGAATGGCAAGAAGGGCTCAAGGCCAGGGAACAGCTGGGGCTGTGACATGGCATGGCTGAGGGGCCGAGTGAGAGTCCAGATCCAGCACCTGCAGCCCTAGGGCCAAGCCCCTTATCATGGAGCTCAGGCTAGTGTAGTACTTGGCACTCTGGGCAGTGCAGCTCATTCTGATGCTCATGCTGCATTTGCCCTGCAGGACAGAGAGCAGGTTCCCTGACTCGGAAATGGCCAAGTATGGGAGCTTCATCAGGGAGGCCCTGGGCAAGACGCAGGGGCGGGAGTGTGTGCCCTCACTGAATGAGATTGCAGCGCTTATCCAGCGACAGGAGATGGTCTGCACTGTGCACTGCCCTGGTGCGGCCTCCTACAGCGTGGCCATCAGCTCGCACACAACAGCTGAGGAGGTGAGCTGGGCCCCTGGTTGGGGAGGAAGTGGGATTGATCCTGTGCCTATGCTGGGAGATGCCTTGTTGTGGGCAGGTTCCTAGGGCTGACTGTAGGGCAGCGGGTGCTAAGCCTGTGGCAGGTTGTACCTGGCATCTTGAGGGAGGGGGAAGGTAGAAGCCGGGGACGATCCTTGGTGCCAAAGCACAGTGGAGGGAGGCTCCTTCAGTCTGAAACCCCAATGCCCTGCCTGGCTTGAGTGGGGTCCCTGGCATTGACCTACGGGTAGTTGCTGCCCTGTGTCCTGCATCCCTTACTGGGTGAAGCAGTGGAGGTGGGGCCAGTCTTTGGGGCCAGAGCCCCCTGGAGCATATGATTGCTAACTCATGCTGCTGTCTTGCCTGTATGCTAGGCATGGGGCCAGGACCCCTTCCTGCAACCGAGGGGCAGCACAGTGACCGGAGGGGGTGGGGGGGGGGCAGGGGCACTGTGGGAATGCCTGCATTTGCTTGTTGTGACATGTCTGTGTCCCTTTGCAGCCCTGAGAGCCGTGGCAGGGGCACGTAGTCACCCGTTGGTTGCCTTTGTCTCGTCTCAGGTGGCCCAGGAGCTGGTGTCTCGGCTGGGCCTGTCCCAGAGCCCCAACATCTTTGCGCTCTATGAGCAGAGCCGGCACTATGAGCAGCCTGTGGGGAGGGCCATGCTGGTGGCTGACGTCCTCACCAGGTTTGAAAAGTAAATGCCTCTTGCTGCCACCCTTGCACCAGTGAGAGTTGGGGGGTGGGGGGAAGTTGGGGTGGGGAGCTACGGGGTGGGGAGGGAGGAAAACCTGAGAGGATTGTTGGTTACTAGTCCCTGTGACAGTAATGCAGTCCCAGATGGGGCTCCCACAGCTTGCTCATTTTCCCTCCCTAGAGAGGCTGGCAGAGGGAAGGGGGCTATGTGCATGTCCATGTGTCTTGGCATTGATGGGAACTGTCTATCCTTTTGCCTTGCCCAGCCTGGCAGTGGAGGAGACAATGCGGGACTCGTCTTGGAGGCTGTGCTTCAAACACTATGGCTTTTTGGACACAGAGAATGTGCCACGTGACAGTGTGGAGTTCACCCTCCTCTTTGAGCAGGTGAGAGCCTGGATCCGGGCTATGTGGCCTGGGTCCTTGTGACAGAGGGCCCCCCCCCCCATCCAACCTTTACAAGGCAGGGCTGCACTTCTAAACGCCCCTCTCAGTGGGGCCCTAGCCCTGTGTTCAGCCTGAGAGTCCTCTGCGGGGCCTGCAGCCAGAAAGCATTTTTTTTTGCTTGCCCCCGTTCTTGTGGCAACTGGTCTTGGAGAGGGTGAGATGCACCTGAGGTGGGAGGCTGAAGTATTGTGCATGGGTATCAAGCATTGGGTGGTCAGCCATGCCTATTTCCTGCACCTGATGCTGCCATGCTCAGCCCTTACCCTCTTTTGCAGGCCCATGAGATGGTGATTCGAGGCTACGTGCCCACATCGGAGGAGATGCTGCAGACCCTGGCTGCCCTGCGCCTGCAGAGCCTCAACAGTGACTTCTCCACGCACGCCCCCTTCCCACGCCTGGAGGAGCTCTTCCCAACCAGTGTGCTACACGCCCGCCTCCAGGCCCCCCAGCAGGCCCCTGCCTCAACCAAGTGCCCTGGCCCCCGCTTCCGTGCGGGGCTGCTGGCTGGCGCCCTGCCTGGTGGCCTGTGGGGTCACTCGCTGGCCAAGCAGCAGGCTGAGCAGGACCAGAAACTGCGTGGGCGCCTGCGGGAGGAGGGGGCCAGCATGATGGCTGCCATTGTGGAGAAGTGGAAATTGCTGCAGGGCATGGGCCGGCCTGAGGCCATGGCAGCCTACATGGCGCTGGTCCGGGAGTGGCCAGCCTTTGGCTCCACCCTCTTTGATGTGCATTTCCACGCGGTGAGACCCTCTTCCTTTGCCTGCCCTGGTTGGGCTCACTCAGTGCAGCAGCTCCCTCCCCCTGCGCTACACGGAGAGGCTGGAGTTCTATCATTCTGCGTGGGTAGCTCGGAGCTGTGGGGGCTGCCTGAGCTGGAGTTGTCCTGCTTGCGCTTAGGAATCTGCAGGGCTGGAAAGGGGACTTCTGGTCACTGACTGCAATCTCCAGCCTGTGCCCCAGTTTGTCCTGGGACAAGGCATGTCTCGGCAACCAGGATAACCTGCAGGAGCCCTCTGTGTAGTGGGCTGGCTCCTGGAGCCTAAGCTTGCTGAGGACAGGTGTCATGTGGTTCTCACCCAGCCTGGGGCAGAAGCATAGTCCCCTGCTGCCACTATCTCCCTGAGCTTGTTGGGCTGCTTAGCATCCTGCTTGAACCCCCAGGGCTGGGCTGAGTGAGTCCTGGGTATAATGTGGGGCTGAGGAGATTGGTGTTGCAGGATGAATGGGGCAGCCCTTGATGCTGATGTCCATCTGTCTGCAGAGCTTGGTGGGCACTGGGCCCCAGCGGCTGTGGCTGGGCATCGGGGCCAAGGCTGTGTCACTGTACAAGCCTGGGGAGGCTGAGCCCATGGACAGCTTCTGTTATGGCCATATCTCCTCCTTCGGTGTGCCTGACAGCAGCACTTTCCGCCTCTCCATAGGAGACAGGGATCTGCTCTTTGAGACCTCCCAGGTAAGGCCTTTGCTGAGCAGAGTTCTGACTGCTCTCCACCTCCACTCTCTGCCCTGGCTGTTTTCTTCCTCCTGGCTCAGGTGTGAGGTAGCTTATTGCCCAGCAGCCTGGCCCCACCCTATGGAACCAGCTCCTCTTGACCCTCATCTGCTCCTGGCCCTTATCCTTGTGAGAATGCAGCCCAACTCCAAGACCTGGCACTTCACCTGGGTGTGGCCAGGGGCAGGGTCTGCAGCAACCCTCACAAGAAGCTGACTGGGATCTGTCTGGGACTTCCACTTGGCCAGGGAGCAAGGCCTTGTCCTGTGGAGGAGGGGGATAAAGTACTAGCTTGGAAGGCAGAGTGGGAAGGGAAGGAGAAGTCTAGCCCAGGGCTTCATCCCACTGATTGCTGTCTGTTACTGCCCTGCAGGTGGATGAGATTGCCCAGCTCCTGAACATGTACCTCACCAGCTTGGGCACCAGGCAGACGCCCCGGTTGGAAGAGCCAGCTGGTCACCGCAGCCCAGTGCACGTGCCTGACTCGGGCCTCCCTCTCCCACAGGGACTCTGCTTTGCCCCTGATCTCTGGAGTCATCAGCCTGATGCCAGCTCCTTCCCCAGTTAGCTCTCTGGGGTCAGCATTCTAGTCCATGTGGCATGAGCTGCAGAGCAGGCTAATGTACCAGGATCTGTGAGGTGCTGGGTCTGCCCCAGTTACTTGTGCCCTGCTGATGGTAAAGGAGTGCCAGTCTGCCCCTGTGGCTGCTGTGCTAGGGAGCTCAGAGCTTGGGACACCGCTGGAGGAGTGAAGCGGACAGGCAGGAGTGTTGGGTTGGAGACCTTGACTCTACATGCTCCTGAGGAAAAGACGCTGTTCCTGGGGGGCCCTCACTGCCCCCAGCTTTGGGTAGGGGTGTGGGGCATCTGTCCTGGGCACCCACTTCCCTGGGCAGTAGTTGGTTTCCCTCCCTGGTTTATCTCCTTAATTTATTTATAAAAAACCCTCTCCCCCAACGCGCGAGCACCTTTGGCTGTTACAGTGCACCTGCAGGATGCCCGATGCAGGATGCTTGCTCCCATTCCTGGTAGTTCATAGCAGTCCAACAGGTGTGGTTTTCCCTTGGCCACTCCTGCCCGTCCCACAGGAAGGCACTAAAGAGGAAGCTGGGCAGGTTGTGCCTTGCAGGGCTCCAGGGCTCTGGGGAAGAAGTGAGAGAGCTCCTGTGGGCAGGTGCCTGCTGCCTGGATGCTGCTGCATCCTGGCACCTGGGGTGACTGGAACTGGTGGTGGGATTGTTCTCCCAGCACTTGCAGTGTGAAGGAGGCAGCTTATTAATGCGGGCTGGGCTCTTCCTTGTGGCTCTACCCATGGAGAGCTGGTGCTGGGACCTGCTTGGCTCTTGTTTCTTGCCTGGTCTTCAGGACTAGTGTTTCTAACTCCCACTCCAGAGGGCTCCAGCTAGCACTGTTCCCAGGTGTAGAGTGTTTCCTGCAGTGGCCTGTGCCCTTTCCTGGCTGTGGGGCCCGTGGTTGCCCAGTCTGTGTGAGGCTGTTTGTTGGCCTCCTGCTGGCTGAGCAGGCTGGGCTGGACCTGTTCCACTGGGGGTTGCCCACCAGCCTGGTGCCTTTGCAAGCTTGTTCCCAGTGAAAGGGGGCTGTCTGGAATGCTGTGCTTCCTCTGCAGGGATTCTTCCTTTGGGTGCCAGGCTGTGTGGTACCTCCCAGACCCCTTAGTAAGTTGCAGCGATCTTCCCCCAGGGTAGGAGAGGGCTTTTGATGTTACCAGAATGCCATCTGCCACCAGTTTATCTATCCACTGTATGCTAAGCACCTTTCTTTGCGCCACCCCTGGAAAGCTGCAGGCAGCTTTTAGGCTTGCCCCTTGGTGAGTGGAGGTCACTATGTTGTCCTTCGTCCTCTCTGCTGACCAGGCTGCTGTCATATGTAGACACCTAGCAGCAGGGGCTCATGGGGGTGGGGTGGGGGGTTAGGTTGGTGGGGTGAGGCTTGGGTCTCTCAGTGGTGCCTCTGTCAAGTTCTGTTTATTTTTTTTTAATAAATGCACAAAGGAAATGCTGGGTTCATGTTGTTCTGTAGGGACCAGGGCCTGCACGAGGCATGACTGGAACTGCTACCACCATGCATTGTGAGGGCAGCAGGCTGCTGCTGCTGAGCCCCCATCTGCTCAAGGACCTCAGCTGGCTCTGGTGGCTGCACAGAATGTGTGCTGAGTCTGGACAGGTGCTCTTTGCTGCCTGCCCAAGTCCACAGCGCACCTGAGCCAGCTCCTGAGCCACTGGAAGCAACTGAGGCACATCTGCCACAACAATGATGCCTAAAACTGCCATAGGCCTGACCCATTGCTCTGTGGGGAACTGCCCTGTGGTTTCCAGAGGGGCGTTTATGTGCGAGAGTCCAAGGATGAAGGCTTGAATTGTCTCCATTGTAAATGCATGTGTGTGTGTGGATGCTCCCAGGCAGGAGCAGTAAGTAACTGGCAGGATTCACAGAGATTTCTATTTGATTTCTCTTCCCTTTTTTCCTCCCCTCCATGCATGTCCATTCAAGGAGTTTCAGTCTGGCAAAGAGCTGCACCTGGCAAGGGGCAACCTAAGCCTGCCTCTTCAACACCTGCCTAAGTAGTGGTAATTCAGGGCTTCCTGGAAATCCCACCCCACCCTTAGCCCTTGGTTTAGGACCAGTCCCCTGGTCCCTCAAATGCAATGCCTGCCCTTCCGGTCCAGGGTGTGTGGGGACTGAGAAAAGCAGGAACAGAACAAATCCTCCAAACTCAGTGCATGTATGGGATCAGCCTCAGCAGGCACAGAACAGGAGCCCACTGGATAGGGGCTGGAGCCTGTTGTGGGCAGTGTGCAAGATGTGTGCTGCCCTTGTGTTGGTACTCCAGGACTCCGTAGTGCATGCAGGCTGAGCTTTGGCCTGTGCTATATTCCAATCATGTGATTTCCCCCCCCCCCAAATTTGCAGGAGCTGTGGTCTTCTCTACCCTTTTGCCCTCCCTTCCTCCCCCCCCCCCCCCCCCACGCACACAGAGCAGTTAGCAGGAAGAGGACAGCAAGCACTTTGGGTGGGTCATAAGGATGGAGGAGTCCTGACTGAGCAGGGGCAGGGCTTTGGGCTGAGTTCACTTCAAAGAGCCAGAGCTGCTGTGGAGTTGGCTCCTGGCCTTGCCTTGCTCTACCCTTTGGCATTTAATCAATACTGCAACCATCTCTCCCTACTCTGCTTCCAGCTTCACCTGGCATCTACCAGCAGTGGCTGCACCCACTCATGGAGAAAGAGGGAGCCTGCCAAGCTAACCCCAGCAATGGGTACTTCTGTCTGGGGCTTGTGCCAGTGAGGGTGGAAGAGCCCAGCAAGGCAGAGAGCAGAGTATTTTTAACTTGCTGTTCCATGCTGCAGGGTCAGAGGAAAAGGCTAATTCTCACCTTGGGCTGCCTGGTCTGGGGCCAACACCCCCTTCCGCTGCTGCCTGACTCACTGCTGGCTCATACAACACAGGCCCAGGTGCAGGATGGGTCTGGCCCTCCCTCCCACGGTCTGCTGCTAAATCTAGCCCTGGTGGTGCATTTGGTCCCAGGCATACACACGACTTGCAATGCTGGCAGATCTCTGACAGCAGGATGAAAATGGCCAGTGAGCCCCAGGGGCTTGAGGAAATCCTTTAATACAGGCACATCAAGGGCAGGGAGAACTGGCTTTCCAACCACTGTGGGGCCCTGAGGATACAGTGCTGGTAGTATCAGCTCTTCAGGTGGGGGGTGTTCAGCTCCACCTCTCCCCCAAACCTCCCTTATTAATGTAACAAGGTTATGGCAGCCTCTGCCACTTGCCCTGTAATAGTCTTTGCAAGATCTAACTCTGTTCAGTTTGTGGGAGGGGGAGGTGTTTTGTTTTGGGGGTGGGGGTTTGTAAGCTAGTTTCACTTTATTTCTGCATTCTTGGAACACTGGAAGATGTTCCTTACTGATCAACACTGGAAGATGGTATTGATAGATCTGCTTATCCTTAGTGGCCTGTATGAAGTGCTTGTTCCTTGGAGCAGGGCTGTAGGTTCTACTGCTCCCTCCCCACCCCCTTCCTTGGGATGCAGTTATCTGATGAATTTATACTTTTGCCTTAAAATCATTCGATAGTGCTTGCACATCCAAGTTTTGGCCCTCAAATCCAGTTACCCCCTTATTGCACTGTCTTAGTTTCTCAGCCAGTCCTCCTGAAATCAAAACCTTGTTTCAGACCTATTCTTGTCCTTCCTGCAACCTAAACGGAATCGATCCATGATTGCTTGAAACCACAACTTATTCTTCTATAAAGTCCATGCTACTTGCAAGAATTAAGCTGCTTGGATGGAACCCAGTAGCCTGCCAAGGGTAAGAGCATTGGCTTGAGATCTAGCTGTACCTTCCTGGGATCCCTGGGGCTGTTCCCCATGGCTTCCAGATGGGGTTAGACTGAGCTCTGGAGCCTAGTCACTGTACGCTGAGTGAGGGGCAAGACTGCTGAGGCCCAGGGATAGGCTCTCCTGGCAAGAGTGCTTTGGGCCTGGTTTTATTTGCACATTAAAAGCACTTATCCCTGCTTATCCTCAGGATTTTTTGTCTGAGCCTCCCCATGGTCTGGCCTGGGTATGGTTGGTAGTGGAATACAGGGCTAATACTGGGAGCCTGCCACAGTAAGAGAAGATGGCAAGGACCCCAGGAGCCTTCATGCCAGTCAGTCTGGTCCTGGTCAATGATCTCATTTTCTCTGTGTTCTGGTTCCCCAGCACCTGCTCCTTGGTGCAATCACTCCTCAGGCACTGTGAGAAGACTTAGTGCACAAACAGCCTTTATTAGAGCAAAAATAACCTATGAAACTAGATACTCTATGTATCCCCAGCCCATTCTTGAAGAAAGGGAACAAAGGATAGCTTTACCCCTAAACCTGCACCCACTGGCATTTGGAATGGGGCCTGTGTCTCTTGCCTTCTGGAAGTGAGTGCTGAAACCCAAGGCAAATGAGGATGATTTCTACTATCACAGCACAAACAGAACTGTGCAGAGGGTGTCACCAGGTTGAGGGTACCATCAGCAATTATGTTGTGAACTGCAGCTAATGTTTTGGCTGAGGAGAGAGCGCAGTTTGGTGAGCAAGTGCAACTCTGGCCTTCTGTGCAGAGCTGGGAGCCACACTTGGCTGTTGGTGGAGAATGACCTTGATGTTATATGCAAAGGAGGGCATGGCTCCTGCACACCTAGCAGCCTGCAGACTATAAGGGGACTTGTGGGCTGCTTGGCAGGCCCAGGACAAGGCACCCCCTAAGTGTGCATAGGTCTCTAGAGTAGTGCTCTGTACCAGTGATCGGTTTGCATTCAGCTGAGTCCTGGATCCTGTTCTACAGACCCTTTAGCTGAGGAGGTTGCTTTGGTGCCCTGAGAAGATTAGAGTCTGGGCACAACAGTGGACCCTAGAGTCTGGTCTCCAACTGGTTAATCATGATGCTGTTTCATTTCATTGCTAAGCTATGGGGCCCTGTATATGTTGCACACAGTAACCACTGTTCAGTGCTGGGTGTATCAGACTACAAAGGGCAGGAGTTGGTATCAGAGAAGGGACCTCAGACTATAAGTCCTCACTGGGCTTCCCAGTGGAATGTGAGGTCCCCTCATGTAACCTGCTCTCAGTGGCTGTCCAGTTGTTTACTGGTAATGGGATGATAGTGGTGTTTTTCAACAGGAGTTTGGTTGATCCTGGTCCTCAAGAGCTCCCTCTGCTTCCTGCTCTCCCAGACCCTGCTATTCCTTCTGGGAAAGGGCACAAAGGGTATTGTAACATCTTAGAGCTGCGTGTGAGGACTAGCTAGCCATTCTTTTTGGGATATTGCAACACTTGGAGTCAGGGGTTGTGACCTTGTACCCCAGCATGGGAGTTCAGCCAAAAAGAAAGCCTTACTTCTGGGGTGCTGGAAGGCAGGGCAGGAAACACCTAAGGAATTAAAAGGGTTTTGAATAGCCATAGAAGCAGCTTAGGTCCACTTGCTGAGTGAAGTCTTGGCAAGCAGCAGAGAGTAGCCTCGGAGCAGCCCAGTCTACAACGTTGTCATCAGCTGTGGCCTTGAGAACTGTTACACACGAGGAGGGTGGGATTGTCTTAATAGAGTTGATGGCTGGAGTAACAGGTAGATGGATTGGAGGGGGAGGAAGGGGAGCTGGAAGATCCTCTATTTGCCCTCTGTGCAGGCCTGGAGAAGAACTGGAAGAGGGACCAGGCAGCCTTCCATGGTCACTGCCAGGAAGTGATTGCCCCTGGTTATTTGGGGATATTTTGGGGATATCATTGATATCAAGGGAGTTATGCTGAATACATCACCCCACTGGACAGTGGAGTGATGATGATGGGTGCTATGCAACTTCCCTATACAATTATGAAAGTGACACCTCAAAAGATATAAACTGCTCCAAACCAATGGCTCTAGTAACCCTTCTTCAGCATCGCTGACGGCGAGATCAGAAAGAGTTTGTGACAACTGAGACAAACACAACTCATTTGGCTCCTGAGGAGACCAGAGCCCTTATCCAGTCCTTGGGGGCCCTGTACTGGGATGCCATCTCGATTTGACTCGCTAATTGAGAGAGGGAAGCCACTGTCAAAGGGTGGACAGACCA